AATGGTGCTTGGATCACCACAACGCATCCGTGGTTGAGTGGTTATGACGTTCGCCAAGTTCCGAGTTGAAGTCCCGGTGGCGTATTTTTTTTGCAGTACACATAAGCAATATAGATTTCTTTAGCCAATCAGAAAACCATAGGAATGTGATTGGCTGAAGAAATCTAAATTGCTTATGTGTACTGCAGAAAAAAAAGAATACGTGTCCCGGGGGCGTTTTTTTTTTTTTCTTTCTTTGTCAGATTCATCTTCTTTTTCAATATATATTACGGTACATTTTCAAATCATCTTGTAGTTTCAACTGCAAATGAGTGCTATACGTCAAGACATAAATACAAACACTCTAAATGGATTCAACACATCTGCATTTAAAAAACAATTGATCCAAATACTGAAACATTAAACAAAAATTGAATACCCGTAATACTCTTTACCATTAGATTACCAATGCTTTTTGTAATATATTTTGTAAGAGGATTTGCCATTATCTCTGACTTAAGTACTCTTGGATGGTATACCTACCTCTAAATGGGCATCAGAATGGCAGTGGAAAAACCAATATCCAGGGTTATCGGCTTTCCATCTAATGATAGCGTAGCCAGTTGTTGGTACATCGACAGTATCCTTGACAACAGCATTGTGAGGCGAAACTCGCGGAAGCATTCCTATACAATTGAAAGAAAATGTTTTATATAATTGATAAAACATTCATGATCTGTTTGTAAACACTCATCAACGTTTGCCGCGATGTACCTAACTATTCTCGACAATTTTCGGGAAAAGGAACTAAATGGTGTAGCATGACTAATGTCAAAAAGTGTGTAGATTAGTCAATGTGAATTATGTATTTTACCTAATGTGACATGGTATTTTACTACAGTATATTCAGTACGTCCCCAAATACGTAAAATAATCCCAACGCGATGTGACACCTTTATTCAAAAGATACTAGCATAAGCATACCTTTCTCATCAAGTGATATCATATTGGCTAAAGTCAATGAGCTGATGTCCGTGACACTTTCTTGAGCCATCACCCTAAAATTGTGGCCATGCAAATGCATCGAATGTGCAAGCCAATCATCGTCATTGATGATAATAAATTCCACAACCTATTAAGATGAAGTGCATTGTTATTAGCGCATACAGTATTTATTAAATATTAAATTATGATGATGATTATAATACTAATAACAATAATGAAAATTATAACACAGATGAAGATAGTAATAACAATACAAAGTAAATGAAGCTGTAACGTTTACAGTGAAAGTTATGATCTCTGATCAGCTTTAAACTAACTACACTAAACTAAACTCATCAGACTGTGAAAGGTTGTATTTTTATTAATAGTAATAATACAAATAATTAATAAAATGATAATGTTCAAAATAATAATAATAATAATAATAATAATAATACTGTTAAAAATAATTATAATGATAATTGTTCACAATGGTATCAACAACACAAACAGCAGCAGCAACTGCAATAAATAATAAGATGGGAAACGTACTGAGTTTTCAGTAGGGCAAAATATAACTCCAACGATAATAACAACAATGATAATAGCAAAAAACAATAATAATAAAATAAATAGACCGTTATAGTAGCCTACCTGTCCAACATTCATTTTCAGGAGGGTGGTGCATTTACAAATTTCAGCTTTACAACTACTGTATGCCGATCTGTATTTATTTGCTTCACATAACGTAAAATTTATTGGATCCTTTGTTAGTAGCAGCGAAGGCGGGTATGTAAAGCTGATATAATCTATTTGATTATGAATAATTACCGCTTTTACTGTTCCGTCGTCTTTGGCAATTTGATTTCTAAAAAATGTAAGTAGTACGTAATATTTTTCGTCGACACTGTACAAGGCTGGATCGACCGGATCTTTAGGAAGAGTGAAAGTAGATGGATAATTTTAAATGTACATTCTATGTTGGGCTGTGAGTTTGAAGAATAAAATTCAATACATTAATTCATTATTTACTATATTCAAGTACGATACCTTTCAATAAACCTTTTCGCTAAGTCTAGCCCCTTAGATAGCGTTGCCTTAATTGCGTAAGCGTACCTAGTGGGACAGTCGCGTATTCCTGTATGAATACGCAACTGTCCCGCGTTCAGATTGGTCAATTTGTTAAGTTTGGCTGAGACTCCGGATGAAAAGTCCATTGAACAAATTTCATCTATTCAACTGACAGATGCATATGACTAATAGTCCTACTATTCGTATATTATTCACAATAATATCATTTTGGCTGGTAATCAATATAAAAATTATCTGGATTGAATAAGCATTTATCTCCCTTTCTTTTTCCTATTGTTGTAAAGTACACACCTGAACGTCCTATAAACAGGTTTTGAATTATAATTATTATGAGAATGGTTTCAGAAATGAGCAAATATGTACGTACAGTTTACCATTTCATTTTGTTACATAATACCTTTTTTATTTATTTTTTTTTAATTATTTATTTTTATGCACACAATACATGTGCAAAGGATTGTCAATAGCGAATATATCACTGTCCTACTTGTAGGGGACAATCCCTTACACAAGGCAAACATACACACACGATGCTTTACACAAACTAAATCTCAATATGAGATTTAGGGAGTGGAGTTGTTTTGGTCGTGAGAAAAAATCCTGCAACACTGACAGGAATTGAACCCAGGACCCTGGGATTGGAAGGTAAGCATCTTAACCACCAAGATATTCAACTCCACTAAAGACTTTTAGATGAACTTTAAATGATGAAGAATATGATGTAGATGGTGTTGTTGCTAATGTTGATGATTCGGCGATGATAATGACGATGATGATGATAATAATAATGATGAGAAGGATGACAATGATGATGGTAATAATCTTTCATCCTAAGTTTCCAAGAATAATAAGCCAAATAACAAACCAAATGAATGTGTATCCAGAATGGAAAAAGTTGGCGTCTCCGTAAGACTCGCTGGAGTCGTTGGAACAGATTCGCAAGTGAAGTCCTCATCATCGTCGATTCGATTCTTGTACCGCAGGATGGCGGTTCCATTGCCAGAACATTTTGAATTTGGCATTCCATAGAAATACATGCAATAGCTAGATGCTGGGGTAGCATTTGCAGTCAACACGAAATCGTAGCTTTTGGAAGAGGTACAAACAACTTGAAAAATTGATGGTAATTAACAAGATATAGGGACTTTATTTTAAACACTGAAAATCATTACCACACGTTAACAATGTACAACTTTGAATAAGTGTATTTATAATAATAATAAAGCATCATCTTGGAGAGAGAGTCCGCAATATTCAACTTTTAGATAATAATAAAAATGTTAGATGGGAATTGTAAATTAGAATTATGCTGTGCTGTCGAATTGCAAAATATTTTTTAATTTTTCAATATGATAAACAAATATTGTTACCATCAACACTGTACTACTTTCCTGTGATTGTCCATTTGTTTTTATTATTTATAATATTATTTATTTAATATTTATAAGACTCCGTTGGAAACAAGTTATTTGATGCTTTACTGTTTATCCTGGCATTTCTTGTTAATTAGTGTCTTTAGAAAATAATACACATTTTTAATATTAACCATTAATAATGAACTCTAAATTACATTTTGTAAAATATTGTTCAATCATATTTTACAAAATGTTTTCTCAGTAATTAATTATATTTGGTAAATAAATAATCTATATGTTTTTTGTCTCGACAGTGCAATTTATAAAGGCGCTCGCGTAGTCTTAACTGTATATTACTAGGTCAAAGACATACAAACAAACACTTAAATATCACAATAGTCTGTTTTTATATATAAAAAAAATTATTAAATAAAACAATTTCAGGAGAACACAGATAGGCCTACTTTCCTTTCCACGTTAGTTTAATTACCTGCCGTCGATGTAGTCACCTAGGGCCTACACTTAAAACTACACGAAGCTTATAACCAGGCATAAAGTGTCAAAATTAGTTACCAACCTTTCACCAGGAGCTATGATAAAGGAATCAACTGTCTTTGGCATGACATCAGAGCCGTCAAGAGAAATCATTCTTAGAGAATGAGCTTCTACGGAAACTTGTGTATTGCAAAATCCATATGCGGCGCTGATGACACGAAAACGGTATCGCAGTCCTTCTTCAACTTCGAACGTTGTAAGCGGTGTAAAGAATGTATTACCATCCTCGTCCAAGAACGTGTCTCCTATCGCTCTTCCATTTATTAACATTGGCAGAAGATTTATCTCATCATTTACGTACACGGAGTTGGAAAATAGCTGCACGGTTACAAAGAGCCCGCCATGATCTCTCCAATCCGTTAGCAAGATTACATGCTCTGGAACATCCAGATCATATTCATCACTAATTTGCTCTACTTCTTTCGGTTTTCTGATAATCAGCGAACCGTAAATACCGTCACTTCTCTGAAAACCGGAATGGCCATGCCACCAATGGGTACCCGGTGGGTTTGCCTTGAATTGATATGTAAATGATGACGAGGAAGTAATAGGGCATTGGGTGATCATGGAAGCACCGTCCATCCAATTTGTACCAGTTTGGTACATACCATGCCAATGTATTGATAAACCACCATGATCCTGGAGTTTGTTTATTACGTTAACACGAATGGTGTCTCCTTGACATACCTACCAATAAGGAAACAGAATTTTAAATGTAGTAACATCAAATGAATAATAAAACAGATTCCCCCCCCCCCCAAAATAATACAACAAAGATCGTATCGAGCTCCTTTTAAAAAAATGAGTTTTAGAAAACTTAGGCCTACTGAGAATTTAATTTAAACGAATCAATGTTTTACCAATATTAATGACAGGGACAATTTAATTGTCCACCCGATACCCGATACATATGAGCCATAACTCATAATGCTTTTGCAGAGCCAGCACACAAACACACACACACACACGTGATCCGTATTTTATTTGCCTAATCCTCAGTGAATTCAACCACTCCTCTAAACTAAAGCCCGGCACTCACTGCGCCCGGCGGCCGTCGGCCGACGCGATTCAGAGAACGCACCGACAAGACGCGCGCTCAACGAATTGCTTTTAATGACGATCCGTTCAGACTGCTCGACAATCAGCAGACGACGTCGCGTCGTGTAGTGCTCACAGGGAGCAGAGTTGGGGTCGTCGTGCTACACGACCGTCGTACAACGCAGTGAGTGACCGGCTTAAGGTGTACGTACGGTACTTCGGCGCTCTCGAAACGGGCCGAATTCACTAGGTTCTAAGATAGGCCTAGCATTTAGTGGAATTCATGCTAAGGAGTGTATATCAACCGATCAAAGTTTGAATTTTAAAGACATGAAACCCCCCAACCACTTTACCTGAATACTTGGTCCTGGCATTTTCCCGTTAGTTACAATAATTGGACGTGACGTCCCATCTACTGTCACACACCCATCAAGGTAGCAATCGTCTTGATTAAATGGACAATCGAAGCAATTTGCTGACATTGTATTTATCCATTCTGCTACAAACTCATACTCGCACATCTTCGGCTTTGGAGGGTACTCGCAAGTTCGTAAACATTCGTGAATATACTCTCCACTGCCGCATTTTGAGCAACAACCTGTAAGAATACACCTGATGTTTTCTATGAATTATCATACAGTAGGTCTAATTCAAATTTTCGCAATCATAATCTAGTACTTATTAACAAAACCCTTTTTTAAAAAACCAATAAATAAGAACAACAAAAATATATTTATACTGATAAAAATAACAATAAATTTCAAAGTGTGTGCTATATCATATCATGTACCAGTAAGGCCTACTAGTTTATTAGTGTTATTGCATCTCTGTCAATATGTATTGTCTACATTGAATTCTTCATTAATTTAAGAACGTATTATATTCCATCAATTGATTAAAATGCTTGTTTCACACGCCTCTGTTTCACACTCCTCAGACGTAAACAAAAGACTTCTGTTTTTCTCCATTGTCGAAATTTAAGATGCTAAAGCCGCGTCTATAAATTCTTACATGCTATTGTAGCTTATGAAATTTTACTTTCTACTGGTTCCAACTGAAAATTGTAACGGATTGCAAGAACGCGTCTTATTCACTCTGTCTAAACCAACATTTAGAAGAATGACACAGATTGAAAAATAGAATGAAAGCCAATGTGTACACACTATGCTGACACACTATTGATTTAAGGCGACACTGGCGAGGCATAGTAACAGTGTCTTGGATGTGTGGACACATGGACACGGTGTGCGCACAGTGTGGAAACTTGTCTACACTGTTGTACACAATGTGGTCACTGTCAATATACTGTGTCCACGCTGTCAACTGAGTGTTCGCTCTAAGTACACACAGTGTAAACATTACTAATTCCACCTCAATCAGTCGACATAGCCCGAGCAAGTCTCACTCGGTGACATTTTCAAGGGGAAGCTTTACAATCAACAATATTTTCAAGAAATCTTACCCAATTTTACGAAAACTAGACATAGTAGTAATATGTATACGGCATCCATCCTAAGTTATTCGATGTATAACGAATATATCATGAGCAGAAACATTTTGTCCTAGGTCTTTATCTTACTTTATACATTTTTCTAAAAGTTCCATTAAAATTCATTTATATTATAAAATTTACATAATTGCTATGGAAAATAAAGATACCGGTAGTTAATTTCAATTACAAAAAAATAACAAAATATATAGAAATAACAGTCTTTCATTTATTTGTTCATAATTACTACCGGTACTGTATGTCAGTCAGTACACGTGTAAATTAAGTTTATTATCCGACTCAATATACTAATGCACCTACCTTCATAATTTTTACATTATTCTAGTTTCCATTAAAATTAATTTATAATAACAAATTCACAAATGACACGGACAAAATATCATACCAGTAATAGCTTTCAGGTACAAAAATTGTAAAATATAAAAATACAGTCTCATCATATATTTTTCCATATCAACTAAAAGTTTCTTTCAATTATCTGGCGCCCACGGTTCAAAATTGGGACAGTCGGGAGGTGGCATTGGTATTAATTTCATCATGATCACGAACAATCATTGCCATTCCATTCTGTTGGTTAAATTAAAAATCAGAATTATTAGTACAGTACATGAACAATTAACGTGATTCTCATCTACGTTAGGCCTAATGATGTTATTTTTGAGCAGTTATTATTATTTATCTCTTTGCCTATATATGCTAAAATGGGCGAAAATATCATTTTAACCCTAATCGTACAAATGGTCTCGTAGTTTGAATTGCAAATGAATATAGGTCAAAGCATATCTAACACTTAATATTTAGGGTATAAGTGTTCGAATACTGCAACTAGACTTGGGATTATGTCGCCTGATTTGTGGTGCATATCACTTTCCAGATTTAGCGACAGGCTGTTGTAATCGGTTAACAAACTTCTAGGCCTAATCTACAGTACTACTGGCTAAACTATACATAGCTTGAATGTAAGCCGCTTACAGTAGCCTATGCCTATATGTTTCTCGTTCTTTCTTCACTTTCCGATGTTCAATGCCCTTTTAATCTAGACGTCTACAGTCACTTCTTTTTCTTCTTTATTTACCTAAGCCATTCAATATTAGTTTAAATAAATACAAGGATAGTAATGATACGTAGAATTCGTCTGGGAATCATCCTGTACCTGTGCAAATGGCATGTCTCTAAACCTGGATGGAGCGATGCACATGTGACGCCATCACAAATCTGCTCTACGATTCATGTTTTAAAAAAAATGGAATATTATGTAACTAAGAATACTAAGTCAGTTCTCAAATTATATAAAATTTGTACACTTCTCCTTTAAGTAGCCTCTGAGACAACTATCAGACTTTACACTCCCTTTGAGCAGAGGGTCTGGTATGTAGGCCATTTCTTATTTAACAATTTGGACTTAGATTAGTTGGACAAGGTTAACCACGAAAGTTGTGGGCTGGCTTGGTTCGAGCGATTATAAACACAAAGAAATGAAGTGCGAATATGAGATATTAAAAGATGAATAGCCTGAAACTAGGACTCTAATAATTGTAGGCAATGAGATAAAATTGGAACCGTAAAGTTAGATCTCCGAGACTCATCATAATCCTTTAATTTCCAAACACTGTATAACAACTTATTTTACCTGAATACTTGGTCCTGGGATTGTTCCGTTGGTTACAAAAATCGGACGTGACGTCCCATCTGCTGTTACACATCCATCAAGGTAGCAATCGTCTTGATTTAATGGACAATCGAAGCAATACGCCGACATTGTATTTACCCATTCTGTTACAAACTCATAGTCGCATATCTTTGGCTTTGGAGGGTACTCACAAGTTCGGAAACATTCGTGATTACACTTATTACTTCCAAATTTGGAATCATCTTTTTTTGTAAAACTGGAATTAGAGCAGCCTGAAAGAGAACATCTGAAGTGGCAAACTAGGTTTATGGTAATCGTAATCGTCAATATCAATATCAATATCATTATTATTATTATTATTATTATTATTATCATGATCATCGTTGTCGTCATCGTCATCATCATGATCATTATCATTATTATTATTGCAGTATACTAAAAAGAGATTGTACACAATAACATTGAACATAATGATGAATTTTAAATGCTATACTATCCTCATTGGTATTTTTTTAACTAAAAAATGGTAGAATATGCTATCCTAGCATCACTCTTAAATTAACACATTTCTGTAAATAAAGTATGTTACAGAAACTAACTGAAATAAAATATGCACCAAAGTACAATATAAATTGCTTACTACAGTGTACCATATGCTAGGATCTGGAATCTTCGCTATTCCAGACACAGCCATTCTTCATAATCAGAGCTGCTCACTACAAAAACCGAATTTGTTAAACAAACATTTAATGTTTTTTTTAAACAATAAAGCTGGTACAAGTAATTATGGAAACCGTTTTAACATTTCAAATCGTTAATGCGTATTGAAATCCAATTGAATGTGTAATTAAAAATAATAATCGGATTACAAGGTTTAACAGTAACAATTTACAGTACATTTACAATTATTGAATAATAGAGTTCCACTATTTTACTCATCGTAGGTGGAAGCATTCTATTTGTACACTGAATATTCGTGAATAACCTTTGACATATACGGAAATAAACTCAGAAAGCTTTTCAAACGGTGACTAAAACAAGGTTTATGTCATTCATTTTCTCAATCTGAGGTATATGAAATTATTTCCTACAAGAAAACACAAGCTTCCTGGGGTGGGCAATGGTCCCTTTCGCTAAGCCCCACCCCTTGAATATTGTTGCTAAAGTCCCACAAACATGCGCAAGTACGTGCGTTTGTGGGACAACACATGTGCTTGGTAGGCACGCGCGTATTCGTGGCCCTGTTTCTGATTGGTCAGTTGTTAGGTTTGATTGACAATCCGGAAAGATCCATTATCTTTAAAGGCGTTACAGAACTTTGCCCGACCCCGATATTTAACATCCGTGAATCTGAAGAAAGGAGTCATCTATCTTAACCTTAGGTTAGCAATCCATAAATAAACAAATTGCAGGTAGAATATTAACATTAAGATTTTTATTTTTTTGCCTACAATATATAAATAGTAACGCGATAAGAATGTAAAGCATTACATAAAGTTGGACGCTACCAATTTCATAGAGCGATTGCCGAAGTTTATCGTAATTGGTTAATTTGTGAATAATCAATAACACATTACATAATACTGCCATCTACGGTGAGTACAGAGTTGTAACCCCCATTAACGTACTTTAAATTATACATTCAAATAAACATACATTTGCGCAATATTTGCGAATATTAAATCTGTCTTTAAAATGATATACCAGCTTCTCTGAAACATATTTGTTCAGTAATTTCAGTTTTAGTAGGCTAAGGTTAAGCTCTGATTTGAAGAATGGCTGTATCTCGGATAGCAAAGATTTTTATTCTGTTTCAAGCGTATAATAGTAAGACATTTTATTTGAATTTGGCAAATGATGTATTTTAACTATTTTTTGTATTTATGTTAAGGAGGTAGCAGATGCTAGTATTTATAAATACAAAAATCAACAATTATCGTATTTTTTTGTATCATAATATTTATACTAATCTTTGTTACTTTATTGTTACAGATGAGCTTCCGAATTGTATTCCCATAATAATTTGTTGAACACTTTACTACTCTTTATGTTTATCATTTTAGTTAAATATCTCTGTTTGAGTAAGCTCAACTTTTGGTCGGTTTCTGAACTTGCCAAGGGATGTTGACTCGACAGTATATTTATAGTAGGTTCAGTTAACCACAGCTGCTACTAGTACTACAAACATGAAACAACTTTTTAAGATTTCGAACATGAATTGAAATAAAGACTGTTTGGAGTAAGATAATTCTTGGAGAGCTTCTGGTGTTGTTTCAATATAAAAGATTTTAGTATTTGAGGTACTCCAAACCACCAAATCAATGGTTTTGGACATTTTCATTTTTCAAAAACAGTTATATTTCTCTTTAAAATTTTGACAGAAATAGAAATTCTTACAACATCCAGCCAATATTATTTTTTGACAAGAAATAAGTATTCATATATTTGTTTTACTACAGGCTTAAGTTCATGTTTTGAGTGTAGTAAAGAATTTGTTGAAACACACGACTGTCTGCGTTCTTGTGAATATCCTGCGCAACCGAGAGTATGTGAATATGTGTTCTCGGCAAAATGGTTCTACTCCATGTCATCATACTGTTTCGATTGTCCCGTGAGGTTGGACGACTGCTACTTAGAGGAATGTGTAGCGCTTGACGGTTCCGCTAGACCAGTTGTCGTCACTAACAGCACAATACCCGGACCGAGCATTCAGGTTAGAAAATTTTAACTATAAAATATAACATAAGATTATGCCAATGCCATTTATTGTATCAGAAGTTACTGTACATTTCTTTTACTTCCAGGTATGTGAAGGTGATACAGTTCGAGTGAAATTGGTTAATAATCTACAAAACCACGGTGCCTTGACAATCCATTGGTATGGAATGTATCAAGAGGGTACAAACTGGATGGACGGTGCATCTATGATAACGCAATGTCCAGTTGTGTCTTCGTCTTCATTCACCTATGAATTTAAAGCAGATCCGGCAGGAACCCATTGGTGGCATGCCCATTCTGGGTACCAGAGGGATGACGGTATGTACGGTTCATTGATTGTAAGACAGGCGAGGGAAGTTGAACATAATGGCTATGCCTATGATTTTGATCTTCCGGAGCATGTGATGATGTTGGCGGACTGGAAAAGCAGACCCGCACTTAGCACCTTTTTAATGACGGAAAGTCCAACCAGATATGTTATATCAGAGGAACAAACGTTTTCAATATTGGTAAATGGAAGGGCAAGTGAGGTGGAGTTTTTTGATGAGGATGGCAACGCCTTCTTCACGCCTCTTTCAACGTTTGAAGTTGAAGAAGGAATGACGTACCGTTTTCGGGTGATCAGCGCCATTTTTGCTCTGTGTAACTTACAAGTGTCAATTGAATCACATCCTCTGACTATCATCGCTGTAGATGGATCTGAAGTGAGGCCCAAAGAAGTAGATTCATTTGTCATAGCTCCAGGCGAAAGGTCTGTTAATTCTTTGATATATTTTCTCTATCTACCATTGAAGTGGAGGTGTTTATCTATACCAAAGTTAATATCGTGTGATATATGATATATATTATGATATATATATATATGATATATATATATATATATATATTATATATACATACATACATACATATATATATATATATATATATATATATATATATGTATATATGTTTAATTAACCAAAAATCTTGTTGTTCTTATAGGTACGATTTCTTGTTGAAAGCAACTGCTAAACCTTCATCTTACTGCATATATGCCATTGGAACTTCATCTACCGAGTGCGTTGATGATGGCGCTGCCATCTTGCAGTACAAGACTGGCTCATATGCCACTCCGAAATGCCAACCCGGTCCACCAGTTCCCGAGTCTCTAACGGATACACCTATTTTTTCTATAATTGAAGCACATGCCATCGGTGAGTAAAATTAATAATATAATAAATATAGTATTATCTATCAATTTATTGAGCGACCGACCGAACAACTAACCAGCCTCCAATCAACGAATTAGCCAACCTACCAACAGTCATTTAATAAATCAACCAAACAACCAACCATCAAACCAACCAACCAACCAACCAACCAACCAACCAACCAACCAGCCAACCAGCCAACCAGCCAACCAACCAACCAACCAACCAACCAACCAACCAACCAACCAGCCAACCAACCAACCAACCAACCAACCAGCCAACCAGCCAACCAGCCAACCAACCAACCAACCAACCAACCAGCCAACCAGCCAACCAGCCAACCAACCAACCAACCAACCAACCAGCCAACCAGCCAACCAGCCAACCAACCAACCAACCAACCAACCAGCCAACCAGCCAACCAGCCAACCAACCAACCAACCAACCAACCAGCCAACCAGCCAACCAGCCAACCAACCAACCAACCAACCAACCAGCCAACCAGCCAACCAGCCAACCAACCAACCAACCAACCAACCAGCCAACCAGCCAACCAGCCAACCAACCAACCAACCAACCAACCAGCCAACCAGCCAACCAGCCAACCAACCAACCAACCAACCAACCAGCCAACCAGCCAACCAGCCAACCAACCAACCAACCAACCAACCAGCCAACCAGCCAACCAGCCAACCAACCAACCAACCAACCAACCAGCCAACCAGCCAACCAGCCAACCAACCAACCATTACACGTTCAGGGTCCTAGCGCAGTCTTCTGACTTGTCCGGATATAATATCCCTACACGGGAGACAATGATTTCCCTTGATGAACAAGGTAGGATATGTTATACAGTTAGTGACTTTCAATGGAAAAGTCGAATCAGAAATATTTCGTTCTTAACAAATTGTTGTTTTGTTAAAATTTGTAATTTTTTGTATTTGTAAAATAGTATTATAATGTGCAATTATATTGTAATACAAACAGTTTTTGCGTTGTGTTACCATTTTACTGTAATGGATAAACAAATAAATAATACTGTTCGTTGAGTTTTACATTTACTGGAAGACAATTACAGAATTTTTCTATTAAAGATCTGTATATCAGCGAAAACTGAACAGTTTCTTTTTGTGTCTGCTTGGAAGGTGATAAAATAAAAGAAGTAGAACCTACAACTTTATGTGAATATTATAATGTTATGTAACACTATAATTTTTACGGCCTACAATAAGCAGTGCAGCTTTTCAAGGTGGTATTTTATGTTTCTTAAGAGGCTGACTGTCATTATTATATTTATTAGGATTGCTCACGCGGATTTCACCATCACATGCTGTTAAAAAAGACACTGTGAATGTTCCAGCTCACGGCTATGTGATCCTGAGATGGAAAACGGATAGTCCAGGATATTGGTTTTTTCATTGCCAAACAAATAGCCACATTGAAGTACGTAATTCATAACCTTAAACCGGGCACTCACTGCGCTAGACAGTCGTCGGCCGACGCGGTTCAATGGAGAACACAATGCCACGACGCGCACGCAACGGACCGTTTTTAATGACGATCCGTTGAGACTGCCATGCTGCCACCGAAAATCAGCAGATGGCTTTGCGGTTGTCTAGCAATAGACCTTTCCGAAGTGTCAATCAAACTTAACAACCGACTAATCAGAACAGCGCTAGGAATACGCGCGCGTCTTACAAACACACGTGTCCCACAAACGCACGTGTCCGCGTATGTTTTAACACTGCCGTCTTGTGGGACCTTAGCAACAATATCCAAGGGGCGGAGCTTAGCGGAAAGGTCCATTTCACTATGGAGCGAAGTTGAATTCGTCGTACGACCGTCATACGACGCAGTTAGTGCCCGGCGTATGTTCTGTATTTGTTTTGTAGTGTGATAACACATTGGGTAATGGTATTGTAATGTTCAAAACTTGTGTACAGTGAATGCCTATAGTCTATTCGCAGTAAAATAGGAAAATAAGAATAATAATAAGTATAATAATAAAAAATAACGATATAATAATAAGAATGATAATAATGTAATAGCATTAATGATAATAATAATTATTATTACTACTGTTAATTGTAAAATTTAAAAAAATAAAATAGAAAAATACATTTTCTTGATATCACTGATGATGTCTCGTTAAAAGCAGAAAAAATAATACAAGAAAAGATTCAACTTTTAAATGTGTTTTGAATATTTGAAACTCTTTCTCAGTTCGATTTAGTTTTAGGCCTAATACCATTAATTGCCTGATGGAGAATATGTTATTAATACTTTAATGCATCTGGCAAACTCTATTCAAATTTTAAATACAAGGACCACATATTATGTAGGCCAACATGTACCGTAACACATGTAATACTTTAGTACCAGATCAAATTATATATTGAATAAAAATATAAATTCATTAAAATATGCACATGGTACAACAGTTGAGGGAAGATCATAGAGCCTAAAAAGTCATATTATACACAGATCATTATTTATTTATTTATCAACAAATTTAAGTTTATTTAATTAATTACAACGATTTTTACAAAATTTCACTGTATGTCACTTAGGCCTATCTTTACATAATCAATTAGCACTAACATTTTATATCGTTTTAATAGACGGGACAAGCAACGGTTCTCCAGGTTGGTGAAGTTGATGACATCCCGATGCCACCAGCCGACTTCCCTACCTGTAGTCCATGGTCAAAACAATAACATCGACAACTACAGAAGGAGTATTTAAGTTACTGTAACCTCTTTGATTTGGTTTTCTATGTGGAGGGTATATGAATATTGCTGCCTAATTAAATGTTCGTAATTGGATGTAATAGCCGATGCAATCTAGAAAACTACGCGTCACCGGTTGTACCAGAATGGATGCAAGTTTATTACCATGTAGCACCAACAGGATATGCTTTTTAGACCTTAGGCTAATAGAGCGATATATTTGAAATGTCGAGATTTCTCATAACTATCAGTTCTTTTACGTGGTGTACCGGAAAATAATTTATTATTAACATGCAAACTTTCTAACAACATTCTATAAGATGATATATTATATTACCATGCAGTAAAGTCAAGAGAAGTACATTTAGTTATTAGAGGTTTATGTGTTATAATTAGAAATATATTACTATTTTTTCTTTTACAGTAATGCAATTATTTAATAGATATACATATGAATATTGTTTGCATTCTGCAGTTTCGAAATAAATATAATAAATGTTATGTGCCATGAAATAATCCATTAAAAAACGATAGAAAACAGACTATATACATTGATTATAGTTTTTATCACATGTTTTGCGAAGGTTAGTTGATAAAATGGATGAATATTAAATATTATGCTTTGACATCAACTTGTGATTCTTTTCTAAATACTGTGTGATAACGTAGGCTACCAGCTAAATTGAATAATCAATTCAATTTAAAGTCAGCATTACTGTTGTTTATGAAAATATGTAGATCCATTCATTAATGTACATCCATTAGTACACAGAATGGTTAGGACCGATCTTGGATACTTTTTATACCAGTATATTTATTGAATAATTTACCTAATAATAAAAATTACATTGTCTACTGACATTCAGGTAAATTGCAAAGCATCCTATCCGCCTTTGAAAACAAAGAATCGAAACAATTCAAATTCAAACACACTTTAAACTTCTTCGATTTGTAGTATTTTTGGGCACTTTGTCTTTGTAAGCTATTCTAACGAATGGTAGGCTACATCAAAGGGTATATAACTGCAAAAGGTCCGACTGCCCTAATTTTCTATGCACGCAATAAAACGTTAACAAATGTTCTACCACGAGATAGGGGGAGCCCTATTAGAATTCGAATAGCGTTCGAAACTCGAACATAATTGGCACAATTAAATCAATCGGTACTAGAAATAACTTAAATTCATAAAATTCGGTAAGCAAAATGATAAAGACAAATACATTAGATATAGAAATAAATTAACAAATTTAATCAGAAATATTTTAGCAGACAATACTACGCCAATAATATAATAATGTCATAATTTTAAGATTTTTATAAATAACAAAAAAATGTTGCGTGTAAATCCTGGCGTCAGAATAGATCATTATTGTCATGGAAATCTCGAGTAAATGGTATTTCCAATATTTGGATAATGAATAACTAAATTACAGTACATACATGCTAATATATACTACTTACATTATATAGTACAATGCTTGGGCTGGAACCGTATTAGATACGTAATATTGAAACTTATGCTCCTGCAAAACTAGCTTTACAAATTTGTATAGGCATAAATAATACAAAATTTAAAAGACAATACACAAGCAAGACAATTAATTTTTTTTTATGTATTTCCAAGACGACTTTCCAGACTTGGCTAGAACAGGTCCACTAATTGAGCAGGTATGAGTTGTATGAAGGAGTATATGAATTGTATAAGGAAATGATCTGGCTAAGTACACAAATAGGTTTTATTCATACAAGCACAATATTTTATACGAACATAAATAATTATGTATCAATTAAGCCTATAGGCTTAACGAGGCTTGAATCAATGAATTACTACCCAGGAGGATAATTTAATTATATACCGGCAACTGTCCGAATACAAAGAATTATTGATTGTGGGAACAGATTCAGTTGGCTTTAGGTAAATATAAAGATTATGGAAAATTAATAGTAAAATAGGTTTTTTTTTGTTGAACGATGTTACCCATCTTAGAAATCATACAATATATAAATGTATATGTGTTGCTGTTTGAAGAGGAAGAACAATGGCTGTATCTTTGGTCACAAAGCTACATTATATTTTATTAATTATCGGTAAAAACGTTTTTATTTTCGTTTGCAATTCATATCGTTTGGCAATATTAAGCTGTTACAGGTAATACAAACACTTACATTTTATATCAAGGAGCTTACAACGTTATTTCCAAACATCATTGAAATCCTTTCAGTTCTAGGAGGAAAGGGCCGTACAATAGCAAGTTCTGCACAGAAAAATGTATTCAAATTTTACTAGTATTCATTTATGGCCATTAGCGAATAGAGAAACATAAATAAAATGCCTTTTCCTACGCAGTCAGTGATGTCTCCTGAAATTTTTCCACAGTGATCCAACAATTCTAACAGAAAGATCCAAACTGTAAAGGCCTATTGCTTTGTGTTAGGGTCCCAGGACTAAACTATTGGTAATGATTCAGACAGCAAATCTAAAATCGTGCTTTTAAAACAAATAAACAACTGCAATAACAAGATAAGCTGAGATTGCAAACGATTGCCCTGTTTTTTCATATATATACTGCAAATAAATGTGACTTATGTACATTGTAGCATTTTCCTAAATATAATTCAAAACTTATTTAAAATATTATCGTTCTAATTCCAATTAGCAAGAAATTAGTGCAGATGCATCTAGAATTGTCATTTATAGAATAATAATTTATATGTATATTTCAGAACATGTACTAGTGTAGAGTGAGTTGACAGAAGGTACTGTAAGTAGGCATAAACTTTTAGGGCACAGGGGGGCAAAGTTCGGCCTGACAGCGATTTTTTTCCGGCCCGCGAAAATGATTTAAAAACTCTATGTGTGCGGCCCGCTAAGCAACATTGACTAGAAAACACCTTTACGTCCCGAAACTTTCATATATTAAAAATAACATTAAAACTGAGAATAAAGTGGTGTAAAAGCAGGGCTTGGAGGTTTTTGTAAGTTCTTGTGAATATCCTGCGCAACCGAGAATATGTGAATATGTATTCTACTCCATGTCATACTGTTTTGATTGTCTCGTGAAGTTGGACGACTGCTACTTAGAAGAACGTGTAACAGTTGATGGTTCCGCTAGACTTGTGGTCACTAACAAACCCTCTACTGTCTCTTACCAATTTTTCTTTACAATTTTTTCCAGATCCTGTTGATCCAGATCTGTATACGGTAGATTCGAGCTATTATATATCACTGTCTTTACTTAAATAAACGGTATTTTCTGACGATAGAAGGAAATTAATTTTTTGATAAATCGGGTATACCCTCAAACTTTCGGATAGACCACATCCACTATCCATACTTCCATCCCCATCTATCTGCTCTTTCATCACGTACGTCAAGTAGGCCTATGTAGCACTTGTAGGCCTAATCTTAAGAGCAGTGAATTCAAAGGATGTTAAATGTTTTGATGGATTACTGCGACTATAACGTGTATATTTACCATACAAATTAATTAAAAAATTGTATTTATTGTCTATACATATAGAAGAAAAATTTACTAAATTATGAAAGACGTCAATTTTGTTGCAGTAATGATTGACAGATTGATGATTGATTATTTTAGGTTGTGGAATTCATCTTATTGAATGTTAATAAAGAAGACTATTCAATGTATATGCATGGTAACCAAAGATACTAGAAATACAAGATAGAGTTCTCCACACAAAAAAAGTGTTCCACTGTGTTCCACCGAAATGCATGGTGGGAATACGAAAAATGGGACGCCCCCTACAGCTGGATCTAAAAACACTTGTGCCAAACTTTCGTTACCAAGTTGTCGCGTATTTTATTATCAATTCTCAACAAAGATACTAGATATAAAAACAAACTGGGATAGACACCCAGACAGTGACA